TAGGTTCTCCTGTTTGTGTGGCATGGTGCAGAGTCTTGTTGCCAGACATAGGGTCTTCCAGCAGTCACCCTCTTGGCCTCCTCAAGGCACTTGATGTAGGCCTCTGTGTTGAGTCTGAGGCCCTCACCAACCAATTTGGGAGTTCTTTTCTTATCAGAATGACCAGAATGAGTTTTATGAGCTGTCATACGTTCATAATCACTATTAGACTCATTCAGTTCTTTCCAAATCCTCTGTACTGTCCTCAGATTGACACCCAAACACTTTGAAATATTCATATTGGAGCTTCCAGCATGAATGCCAAGCAGGACAGCATGCCGTTTCTAGAGTGAATTCTGTCATGGTGCTCTTTTTCTCAGAGACCTTGTTTATACTGTGCAGTCAACAAAATCAAAAACAATGTGCAGGCACAAAATTAAAAATATAATATTGTGGCAATTTACCTATTGCAACCAGTACTTCTACACAATTTACATTGTTCAGACTGTTGTCCTCATCAATATTGCCATATTCACAACATTTCAGCTGTTGTATGCACCAGACTTATTTTTGAACTGAACCCTTTATTTAGTTCACTGGGGTCAATGGTTCTAATTCCACATGCCATGCCTTTTCAGATATCTCAGTTTCAGTTAATTTGCCTTGATAACTCAACTCCCCAAGTTTTTGTTTCCTCTGCTGTGGCCAGGTATTGAACTCACAACTCTTTCAGTCAAGCCACTTTTTGGATCACTCAACCAACACTTTTAGTGACCGGGCCATGAATGGCCAGAGAATGGTGGGCGATCATGGTTCTCCACAGCTTCCTGCCCTTTGTAGATCTTAGGAAATTTTGTCTTCTTGCTATCTCTCCTAATCCCTGTTTTGCCAAGTATTTACACAAGTTCGTTAAGGTGGTTATTCACTGCTTTCCTATGGCCTTCAATATACCTTCCTGTGTAACCACAAATGCAAAAAGAATGAAATCGATAGTACAAACAATTCCTGGAAGCATTTGATGAAAACTGAATGAGCATATACAGAAGTCCTGAAAGCCAAAACTGAATGCATAATCATTTTGATTGATTTTGTTTAGTAGCATATCAACACCTCTGTGGGTTATTTAATGCTGAAATCAAAATATTTTGTATATAGTTTTATACTTTCAGAGTAAAAAGGAAGTTTTTTTTAAATATATAGTTTGCAGATCATAAAATGTATTGCTGGTAATTTTACTATAAAAATTTACTGTAAATTTTTGTTTAGGGGTTCACTATTTGCCCATAACTTGGACCCTAACAGGTGCTGCCACCCAGAGTCAGGGTTAACCTGGGAACAACAGCAATTAAGAAGTGGTTCCTGGCTCTTCAAACCTTCAATCTCCTGATCAAAGGCCATGGAAATAAGTTATTTTATTCTACTAATGGATATTGAAAACAATCACATAATTATCCAACAAGTTTTTTTTATATTTTTGTTTGAATTTCTGGAATGAGAAATTCTCATTAATTACACTGCTTATATTTGGACTATTGTCTTCATCTTTGTTGTTTCTATCACAACATTTTTATATCTTTTCTAGGATAACAGCTGAGCAAATCAAAGAATCTTCAACCTGATATCTCTACTTGAATTTCAAGACTACAAGTTGCAACGTGATGCAAAATTATAGATTTTCAGCCAGTGTTTCCTTCATCTTGTGTTGATTATCATCACAATATTTCAAGTCAAATAATCTGATTATTGTGATGTAGGAAATCCAAAGAAGAAAGTAGCATCCAACAAGAACTGAGTACATAAAAGAACAAGAGCAAGTACATAAAAGGAAAAAAACCAAAACAGATATCCAGAAAAGGAATGGCATAGAAAACTAGAACAATCTACCCCAGTAGATGAAATAAAGGGTTCAGTTCGAAATTCCAACAGATATCACCTGAAAAAGGCCAGAGCATACAACAGCCAAAATGTTATGAATATGACAACAAAGATGAGGACAACAGTCCAAACAATGTAAATAGTTACAATACCTCATCTCAGAAATATAGACAGATATAAAATGACAGGAATAACTGAAGAAAAATAGGTGGCGACTGCCTAGCTATTAGTCTATTTCACTAAATCTTCACCTAGTACAAGGTCCAACAAGCACTCATGGTAGAGGGTTTCTAAATGAAGCTGTTGTGTGGAAATAGGGGGTTGGAAGTACAAGTAATGTGGATATACAGGAGAGGTAATGGTTGACCCTAGACTTGGAGAGGTCAAGATTGCAGTGATCAGGGAAGCATCCTCTTAGGAGTCTGTTCCATAAAGTAGTGGCTCTTGGGAAGAAGATGCTTCAATGGAATTTCAGAAAAAAATACGAAAGGAATATGGTTGGCTCACCCCTGTGTATATGGCACGGTAGGTCTTAGTTCTGAAAGTTCAAATTAGTGGAACAAGGAAATATAGCTTGTCAGAACATTTTCAACAGAAATTGGAATAAAGTGGTGAGATGTTTGCGGGAGGGCAGATGTTGAGTGGAAAATAATTCATCACCTACAAGGTCATGTCAATTCTTCTAAACTCTATCAATACGGGAAAGAAAGGATTCAGCAGTACTTGATTTTTGATCAGATAGCCTCTGTTACCTAATTGGTTACAGCATCACTCATAAAAGACGAGCTCCCAAAAAATATTGGATATTATTTTAAAACTCATTTCAACGAACTTTTTTAAAATTCTGATGCTTACTTTGATGGTCAGAGTGTAGGAATACAGAAGGCATTTATTTCCCTTTGATGGAGATAAGTGACGTGGGTCACATGACTGCTGCTTAGTGACATGACTTAATACAGTGATGAAAGTGGCAGTCAATTTCAGTTTTTTTACAGCAGCCACAACATGAGGTTGCTTTCTTTTAGCCTGGGCCACAGGACCCAGTCTGAGGTTAAATCTGCCTCCCCAGCAGCTTACAAGACCATGGTGTCTTTTCCCTTTGGGAATATATCTTTCCCAGATATAGAATAAAACTCCAGCTCGCAATCCTTAATTTTGGAAAACTCAAGATTCACTGTTTCCCATTTGAGGAATATGTTTTAGCCTGGGATATGGCTATGATATGAATCCAGCTCGTTTGAAGTCCTAAACATGGCTTCTCCAGAAACAGGAGTATCACCATATATTATATAAGAGCCTTCCTTTTTGTTTCTCCTAACACTTTGCTGTGTAGATATATATGATATATTATTCTCTGCTGCCTGGGACACATGTATGTATATCTTAGTGATATAAAAGTTTCTGAGAACAAAGCACGTTTTTCCTTCCTTTACCTTTCAGCCATTCCATCCCATCCATGAAATATGATGTTATTATACCACAGATATAATAGTGCCCATAATGGAGGGGAAATACAAATGGGAAAATAAATCTTTCTTCCTCAGCTCTCAGCAGTTAAATATGCATTTCAAATATATGCATGTAGATATATGTGATATATTTTCTCTACCTGGGACACATGTACATATGTACATATAGTTTTGTGTATGTCTTAGTAGGATAAAAGTATTTCTGAGAACAAATCATGTTTGTCATTCCTTTTCCTTTCAGCCATTCTGTCATGTCTGCATAATATCGGTGTTATTATATCATGGATATAATAATGCCCATAGTAGGGAAATACAGATGGGAGAATAAATCTTTCCTCCCTAACTCTTCCTGTTACAAGAGTATATTCAAACAAGAATGCTATGATAAAAAGTAGCAATAATATTAAGAAATATGAATCAAATATTAATCAACAAAATTATTAATTCTGATCCAGTATCGTGATTTCACATTCATAGACAAAATAATTTTTTCATTTGGTACAACTGTTTTTTGTTTTTTTTTTATACTGATGAACCCAAATGTTTTTACCAATTTATTTACGTAAAGGATAAATAAAATTAAAGCAAAAGTTTTATAAATACAGTTTTACCAACACCTCTTAATGAAATACACACATTTCAACAATCAACATTTTTTTTCTAGCTCTCTAGACAAGATAGTTTTTTTCTATCTCTGTTTTTGCCTTTGGGACAAAAGAAAAAAAACAACTCCCTTAAAATATTGATTTTTTTTCTTTGTTTATGATAATTATGTTTGCAGCCAAATAAACACATTAGAAAAGCTCTTGTATTAGATTTTCATTTTATGACCAACAAACAGGAAGAAAATTCCCAGCCCAACATGTTTTTGTTCTTTAATCAATTTTCATGTTTGTTGGGGTTTTTTTTTTTTTTTACCTTATTTGATGTTTTTCTAATATCTCTGACAATTTGGCTTTCTTTGACGTTCATAAGATGCAAAAAACACTGCGCATCAGAGAGATCTTGATTCTTGAAAACCTAAAAGAAACCTTTTCTTCTTTGCTTTGTTAGAAGAGAAAATGACTTTTATGATAATTAAGAGCTCCCCCCTCCACCCCGCACACAACATGAATAAATATGAGTTTCAAAAGATAACAACAGGATTAAATGAAGTCTTTTAATTCCAAAGGTTGTTAGAGAAACAATCTTGACCATTACAAGAGTACTTGCATTTATTTTTTTATTTTTTTTTTTTTCTCCTGTAAGATAATTACTAACTTTTGGTCCCAACATAGTCACTCAGTTTCAATCTACCATAAAGTAGTTGCCCTCTGCCTTTTCTATAGACATTTTCATGGCAATTGTTCATGAATTTATGCATAGTACTAGATTGGAAGGTTTGCCTATTGTCCAGTTCATACTCCTCCTGGGTCTTTTGAACAAGAGTAGAGGTTTATACATAATTATTCACACTGCTTAGATAGTCAGATTTTAAAAGTAGATTCGAGTATACAGAGATTGTATAGCTGCAATCACATGCTTTGAAAATCAGCATTCAAAATTTTGGTTTGATTTGCACTCAAACCAATAACAAACTCGCAATTGCTTAAGGCAAGATAAAGATGCAAAAAAGAAAACAAAAGGAATGAGAAACGGTAAAAGAATTTTTTTTGTTCAGAATAAACTAAAATTTACCTGAGGTGAATCTTTTGTGCCAATTCCACTAGCACCGGCACTCCATGAAGAAACAGAACTGAAAATAGAAAATAAATTTTTTTTCTTTAAATTTCATCATCCAAATACTTTAAACCATTTTTTTTTTCCTTTCAGGTGACTGAAGATTAAAAGTTGAAAATTTATTTCATTCTCTTCAGATATATAGGGAACAGAAACAAAGAACAAAATATAGTGATATGTGAGATACGCTAAATAATAACTTCTGCCATCTTTGGAATAAAATAAAGCAAAATTTGAAATAACTTGGATAGGATATGAAATGTTGGTCATAACTTATAAATTACGTGGTCAGCATTTATAATGGTCACTACAAAAAAGTGAAAAATTCTTTTTTACCATTATTTCTATTTAATTGAATTTATTAGCTATTAATGACAAAATCCACTAAAAAATAAATAAGATTATTTATGTATAGATCCACACTTCTGCTTAGAATCAAAATTTACTCCTTGGTACATTAACTAGGATCAGAGTGTAGTATTTGCGTTAAAAAAAATAACCAAAAGTATTCCCCAGATTCTGGGAAAATATGTTAATATTTGTCTTTCAGAGAATTAATTTTTTTCATTAATTCTTTTTCATTTTTAAGTTCCTTACCCCAAATCAATGGTTTGATAAATATGTCTTTCATTGATTTCTATCTTGTACACTTTAATACAAATGGCAAGACAGAAATCGGGTATTACTTTTGACTATATTATATATATATATATATATATATATATATATATATAGATACATAATGCATTCTATGTGGATTACTGAGTTTATATTTAAATTAATAAATATTAATTCTATGCATTTTTTACCATTATTTATAACTTCACATAGAAACATAAGAACTGTAAATGAAAATAAATTTAAGATTTTTACAATATTTCTCATATAAAGAAATACTAACATCAAAATTAATTATAACACAAATACACTAAGGAAAAATAAAAATCTTTGGACAAGCCCAAATAAAGAATTCTCCAGAAAATAAATTGTCAATCTAATGGGATTCTTTAAAGACTCCAATTCTACATCCATTTGCTTTCAGATTTGCTTCTTCATTGCATATGTAGCACTCTGAAATTAGCCTTGTGCCATGCAAAAAAGTACAATGATTTTTTTTTTTTTTTAAATCTTTAAGAAAATGTTTATAGATATTTTTTAAGTTCTTTATTTCAGTTAAAGTTTAAATAGCAGAGAAGAGAGAGCTCTCTAACCTTGGTTGGCAGCTAATCGAGAAGATTGGTTTGTTTTTTTAAGGCTTTTTAAGGCCTTTGTAGATTATTAAAGCAGAAATATATTGGAGTGTAAGAATAATTCTTTCTTTCTTTTTTTTTTCACAAGAGAATATCGCATTAATTTCTTTTTAGAATAACAATGATCTTTCCAGATATAAACTCTACTATTCAGCACATAGCTGGTGGGGAGGAGATAGATTCATAGCTTTCACAAGGTTATTTGTGTATAAGTGAATGCAATGAGCTCGATTGGAATTTGAACTTGATACTTTGATTTCTCATTCTAAGCCACTATCCATAACACCACCTGCACATAATAATCTGGGATTTCAGATTTAAAATTAAAAGCTTGGAAAAGGTAAAGGAAAATCATTTCTCTATATTTACAAAAAAATAATGTAAAAGATAAAAATGGGAAGATATGTTGAGCAATGATCACATGCATAATGAAGGGATGTATCAATTAAGGAGGATGAAAAAGTTCTTCATATTCATTTATGATTCTCATCATTACACATTTTCCCTTGTCCATTAACGTTAACATCTACAAAGACATCATATTTTTTTCATCTTTGTCACAATTTAATTCTATTAATCATGAAATTCAAAGCAATATGAATAAAAGATAACATCATCATCTTAACAGTATCATTAATATAGATACATTATAAAAAATTATGTCTACAATATCACTAATACAGTATCAATAATATTACAAACTTACTTCATAATCAAGATAAGTAATGCCTTAAAAATTGTATGAAAAACATTTCCAGTTACAGAATCTACACATTATTTTTCTTTATGGTTGTTTTTCTCATCTTTTCCCAGTTCTACACATTACCAGAGATATGCATCTCTGGCTAATTTAGTTTTGTGTATTCATTTTCTAAGTTCTGATAGGGAAAGACTTTTTAATATTGTTCAGACAATGATGTGAACAAAAATAACACTATCATACTCCAACTATTTTTATCTGTTAATCAAATTATGATCACCCACATGTTTATTATTTAGAGTTGCCATATATATATATATATATATATATATATATATATATACACACAACAAATAAATATATTTTGTCCAACTTTTGAGTTTCATGCATATATCAAGCACCATTGTAATGTGTCAATTTATGCCTAACAGGTGTCATAAGCATGAAACTCAAGAGTTGTACCAAACAGTGAGGTGAGGAACAATGTGTTGTATATATATATATATATATATATATTATATATATAAAATATATATATATATATATATATATATATATATATATATATATATATATATATATATATATATATATAGGAAATGGATTAAATTTTGCATAGTAATTTTCTAAGGCAATAAATTTTTATTTATTAATCTGACAGATTTTACCCCTTTAAATGTTACTTTTAACGGATACTCATATTTGAGTAGACACTTCATTTATTCATTAAACAGTATCTTTATTTATTTTGTATAAAAGCAAACAGCAAGCCCAATATATCTGAAATATGTATTTTGTGCCGAATACATGTCAATACAGACACAAAAGAGGCCTTGGATTGCATCTGACATGTTTGTCAACACTAATTACATCCAGGTTTTTCCTCCCTATTAGCAGCGAGACAGGTTGGCATGTCTAGATACAGGCCTCTCTGCAACTGGTCAACATCCGTATTGCCTCATACCAATAAAATCAGGGGGAGAACCAGTAGTCAAGTGTTGGCAAAGCAGTGTTATTTTTGTCACCTCTCATCTCTTTAGTCTCTCTACCTGTTACCTCATAGTGATTGGGAGAGTAATCGGTTATGTGTTCCCCACCACCACCATTCTCAACACACTCTTGCTGTACATTACAACACATTTAAATATACCTGTGTTTGTAAATTTTACTCCAAAAATGTTTAAGTGATCAAGAATTCAGGTAATAAGCTAATATTTTTTGTTTCTTGCTAGAAAAAAAAAAAACAAACACACCAAGATACATAAATAGATATTAAAGACAACATTTTCAACACTCTGAAATAAAATATGTTAAGCTTTATTATGATATTTATATATTATAAAATATGAAGATAAAAGTAATTAACTTTCTCATTACACACAGAGCTGCATTTAACAAAATGCCAATATATTTGAATGAACACTTTTTTTTTTTTTTAGTTCTTTCCAACAGAATTATTTACGGAGTTGTCATTATTTTTTCTTTAAGTCTGCATTTAGCAAACCAATCAAAACTGTCTTCTCTAATAATCAATATTTTACTCCCAGAACAGTTCAGATAAATTTAAGCATTGTCTGCAATATATGGGAGACATTACTTCTGGTGGAATTTATATTTGAAAGAAGGCAATTGAGAGATGCCATCTATTTGAGGTGAAAGAATAAAGCACTAATTAGAAAGCAATTTCATTCATTAATATTAAACAAAAATGTTCAGTATAGGAGTTTTAACTGAATAATAAGAATCTATGTTCTTGCTGTAATTAATTAAAAATTAAAATGAAGATAATTGTTTCTTACATTTACTATTTATTAACAACATAAAAATGTACAGGATGAGAATTTTTTCTCATCTATCAAAGTACAATAAAATACATTTAAAGTACAATAATTATGATTATAAAAGATTCATATTTTGTTCATCAATTACATTATTTTATTGTTTCTGGAGTAGCAAAAAATATTAAGGAACACCCCACAATAGTAATGAAGGGTTTAATTTTTCACAATATTTTAACACATTCAATAAATAATTTAATCTATTTTTTTTTTTTTATAATTTCATCCCAAGCAAGGCAATAAAACCACTAAGATGCAAGGGGTTACTGAGTTAGAGTATATGAGGAAAAAAAAACATTAAGGAGAGAGAACATTAAAGGAACAAGAATTAAAAAGACACTAGATAATGATTGACTGAGCTAATTCATTTGATGTAAGGTGAAGAAAAACATTGTAGGGTCATTTTACATTTTCATAATCTTTGTAAGAAAAAAAAAAAAATTACTAATCCAACTTAATTTATATTTAATGTACTTTCTACTTCTTTATGTAACACAAATTAACAAATCTATGTAATAAAATAAAAATAATAATCCAATATTTCCCTGCTATAGAAGAGAGTAAAAAAAAAAATATTTCAACAACTTTTTATTTACTAAGCTTTTAAAAAATTACAATTCACTAAATTACTTGCATACTCACATGATAGAAAAATACCAGTCTATCTTCTCCCCAAAAAAACTGTGGCATACCAGTAACAAGTCATTTATCAAGATATGTGACTAAGATTCATATGCTTTCTAAAGGTATTGCACACAAGCAATTCTAGCTAGAATTTGAACACTGTTCCCCAATCTTGTATTCCTTGCTGACAAAATCATACCTGCCATCCTCGAAGGAAGAGGTGAAGAGACAGAACAACAAGATTGGGATTCAAAACAGCAACTATTTCAAATTCACTGCATATTGCTACTTATTCTATAATATTTGTTATTCGGAAAAAAGATTGGGCTTACGATACATAAAGAATATAAAAAGAACTGATCAAATCAGGCAAAAACATTTTCTATTTCTATATGCTAACAAAGTTGGAACTTTTTTTTTTTTTGTGAAGCTATGGAAGAAGATATTTAAGTTATCTTCTCATTCATTATCCTCTTTGTCAGAGATTTTATTTTTATTTTTTAAATAAGATATATTTGAGGAGAACAAAAGCAAAAAAGAAAATTACTTTTATAAATATAAAATGTTCACTTGCAAGATGGATACTCATAGCTAAAAATCCATTTAAATTGCACATTCAATTTTTATGAGCTCAATACTGCTAGAAAGAAAATGAATTAGAAAAATAAATCTTATGTAAAAGTTATTTTTGACTAATATAAAGAAATAGATATATTTGAAAAAATTTCTTTTAAAAGTTGTCAAATTAAACTATGTAAAGTAAGTCATGTGCCATGCATGAGAGACACTTAGGCAAGCAAGTATCTTTCAATACATGACTGACGAGGCAAATTTTTTGTTTCCACAGTAGGTTGCCATTTCTTTCTACGGTAAACCAGTTGCCATCCAAAGCTATAGAACCTGGTCTGTCCTGCTATTTATCCATAGGTGGAGGGATAAGAAGATGATTCATACCTTTCCCAAGGGTATTAGCACGTAAATGGATTCGACTGGAATTCGAACTCAGCTCTCCGATTCCTCAATCCAAGCCGTTATCCATTACTCCACCTTGCCTCCTCATATATAAAGTAAAACAAACTTTAAACATGTTAGACTAACATTTTCAAAATTTACAAATATTCAGCTAAATACTGAATAAAATTCCACTTACGAAATCTCAGTAAAGTACAACTTGACTGTGTCATCAATATTTTAAAAAAGAACTCTCAAGAATTAATTTTTTTTTTTTTTGGTGAAGGGGAGAGAGATAAAATAAAAAACACCACTGAGTTGGAAATAATGCCCTAAATTGAAAACTACAAAATCATCTATAATACTGTTTCATTTAACAAAATTTCAGTTTAATTTGAATTAGTGTCAGCTATGCAAAAAGTAAAAATATTTGCACTGAAACTTTTAATAAAAAACTTTAAAATTTGAACCAACTTTAAAATTATATTTGAATGTTTAAAAATTCTTGTTTTATTTTCTCCATCCTTTAGTATATCTTAAAAGTTGTAATTAACTTATACCATTGTTCAATAAAGAAATAAGAAACTTCATCAATAATAATATCCATTTCATTTTAATAGATTTTTATGTTTACAAGAAGGTATGAGTTTAACATATCTAGAGGCTCTGTTATGCAATAACCAAATCATTTTCTCTTGAATATTCTACAGCTTCTTCAAATATTTCTTAACTTGTTCAAGGTATTTCAGAGTATTATACACTGAGAGATGTTTAATTTCATATTCATTTGGGCATTCATATTACAGAGGTCTGAATGGTCTTTTTTCGATTATTATCGACCATGTGTAAAATGCTCATGAGAGTCCCTTTTATAAACTCAGCCAAACATGTTTATTTTACTCACCTACTCTCTGCCCGATCGCTAGCATCAACAGGCTTGAATAATTCATCAACACCTGTAAAAGAATAAAAAAATATTTACATAACATCAAAAGTGCCTGAGGCTCATAAAGAACACAAAATACTTTATATAGTAGCAAGCCAACATGTGTGTTTACTTTACAATCAATTACTGCTGGCTAATTTTATATCATCTGATCCCTGTTTAACATGAAACAGAAAACAAAAAAAAAAAAAACATTATAAATCTAATTAACAGTAGAAAATCATTTTCCAAGACATTTACTGATGACAACCTACAACAAAATTACACAATCCTTTCCTTTTTGGCCTCAGTAAATAATAAATCGCAGCACATATATTCACCTTAGCCACTGAAACTGTGTTACTTCCCCTGGTTGGCAGCTGATGAGGTCAAGTTATCACATATTACATACACAGTGTATTTACGCAGCCAGAATTCATCTAAAGTTTTTAAATTCAAACAATAAAATAAAAAATAAAAATATTCGATACATGCTTTTCCTGATTTTCCATTTAATCACTACATATGTCACTTTGAACTGATTCCAATTCCAAATGAAAATGCCAGAATTCAGTGCAAAAATATTGTCTATCATACTTGATAATCAAGGAGACAGTCAAAAGTATTTGCCAAAAAAACAGAACAATTTTGGACTGTTTATTCAGAAGTTCAATCCCAACAATAAACATTTAATTCAGAAATTGGGAAAATATAAATAAAAAAATTAAAATCGACAGACCTTGTCTGTTGAATTTAATAAAACTTGTTTGGAGATTATATGTATATGAGATAACAATACATACATTTTTTTATATCAAGAACAATATTGTGGAAAAAATGTATGACAAAGTGAAAAAAATGTTTTTGTGTGACACATTTTGTCCTTTAGGACTTCATCAGACTAGTCACACCAACATAACAAATTTAGTTCAATTAAGTCCTAAACATGTAGTCTAGGTACACATACTGGCAGATTATAACATCTGGGTGAACAATAGGACTTGCATATGAATTTGAGGTGTCTTCATATACCAATCTTAAGAGATATTCTTTAACTATTTTCATGGAAAAAGAGAGAGTCTTATATACCATGAGCTACAGTAGTAGTAGTAGTAATAATAATAATAATGATCTTCATCTATTTGCTTAAGTTTGTGTGGGCTTACATCTTTGAAAATCATAATCAAACAAAGTTCCGGGGGTCCAGTTTTTGCCACAATAATAGTTTTACCAGATAACCACAAGACTAAAAGTAATAACACAGCCTATGTTATGTTGGCTTCAGGGATTACTAAAAGGTCAGTAAAGGTCATTTCTAGCAAAAATATACTGAGACATTGAGTTTTCTTTGAAGTAAAAAAGTAAAAAATTTTTGACTTCACAAATAGTTGGTCAGATGAGGTCAAAATCAACGTCCAAGGTCACTAGAGGTCACTGAAAGTCAAATGTTTGTGACATTTTATGATCTGTATTGCAGCCATATTCCAACCTTCTTAGGTGTATATTAGTCCATAAGGGTAACTTAGGTAGAAAAAAAAGCACAGGTAGATCATGAAAACTGCAAAGGTCAGTGGAGGTCACCAGAAATCAATTTGGGATTGAAATAGCTATAGTGGCATATGTGTTGGTTATATATGTGTTACTGTTATCTAGTGGTCATGAGTTCAATCCTTGATCAGGTAATAAAACATTAGTTCAGCAGGAACAACAATAATAGGCATCACTGAGGCAAAATGACACAATAATCAACAGATATCCCATACAACCCAAACAATCGACACCTGATGATGGCTAGTGTGTACTTGGCTGAAACGCTTTGTCTATATCAATGAAGATGTGAAGAACAGTTCAAAATAATAAGAGTATATCATTCAGAATGTTGTGCAATAAGCAACAAAGCTAAAAATTCTCGTCTGAAGATAAGGGAAAATATTGTTTACTTTTTCCTTTTTTTCATTCATTTCCATGGTTCCACATACAAAACACATTATATATTATATATATATATATATATATATATATATATATATATATAATCTTTGTCCTTGCAAATTTTTATCTGCAAAAACAGTTACATGAAAAGATATTCATTTATTTCAGAGCACTCTACTCTCCATCCTTGCTGTACCAATCTTCTTTCAGTGCAATCTTTCAACACAAAACCAATTTTAAAAACTGAAGTGAATCAAATATCTGAATTATTTATTTTTTGAAGTCCCTATTCCCAAAGAATTCTATCATATTGATACTTGATTAATTTATTTAAAATCTACCAATGGTTCCATGATCAGCTATGGTCAGAACCAACAACAGCAATGTAGTCAGGTTTATTCATATTGTTTTTAATAGTTCATATTGTAACCAGAGGTTCATTAAATGTAGAAATCAATTTTTTAAAAATATGTAACAAAAATTCTTCAAATAATCAATATATTTCAGATATGGACAGAGAAGGGAAGAAAAATGTTGCTGATTTTGCAAAGTTCGGGGCATATTTAAAAAAAAAAAACAAAAAAAAAAACACTCTTGTTTACAGTCTGAATTTCTTATTTTAATTAAAGAAATTGTTTGGGTTTTATTTGAAAATATTGATTTTCATCCTTGATTAAAGTTGGGTGAAGCAAGAAACATTCACAACAATACACTGATATGATACCATCTTGGGCTTGTGTTAGATTTATTTTCAAAATGACAAGGGCTTACTGAATATTTCTTAACCTAAAAACAAAAATATGTTCAATTATGGGAAGATGGATAATGACATTAAAAAGGCTTGAAATTGATTCCCTTGACAATTAAACTCTGTTGATAGAAAGTCAAATGTATTTAAGAAAGCAACATTTTTATTTTGCATTAATAACAGAAATCAAGGATTCAAACTGTTTCACCATTGACACGGAAATGTCTGAAAAATGTACTAAACCCTCCTGAAATCAAAAGGTTTTTTGTTTTTTTAAACTTAATCATTTATTGTTGTGTAGTGAGAAAACTAACGCAGGTATAACTTAAGCTTTATTCAACTTAGAATGAAGCACGTCCTACTGGACTTACTTAAATACAGAATACATATAAGGGGAGATAATCCATACCACATGTTGTAAATAATAAAACCACCATTTAAAATTTACAAAATATGTTTCAATTCATTCAATATTTAATCATCTGTTTTTTATTTAAGTCATACAGGTTGCAAAAAAAATAAAAGGGGAAAGTTAAAATATTACAATTTTAAAAATTAATAAATATAAAAATCAGTCAAATTTTATTGTAATCTTTATAAATTAGTCAAATTTTATATTTCTTGAAACATTTTGATTAAAACACTTTGAATAATTTTAAATGGAAATTAATTTTCATGCTCAGCATAACTTTTATCATAATTTAAGAATTGTGTTCTATGCATTCATTTTCAATAAAGAATATTAGCACATTCCAATTATTGACAATCAAAAAAGTTTGTAAAGTCTTTATCAAAATATTTTCATTTGAAGCTACAGGTCTCAAGTTTTTAATTAAAAATTTTGTATCATCTTTGCATCATCCCAAAACACCTAACCAATGTTCCATCATCCCCAGGCTAATTTAGTTCAAATCCTGATAAAAACACTGTCCAACAAACTATGAAGAAAATAAATTTAGACAGTTATAGACTGGTCACCATTTATCTTTCTTAATGTTGCTGCGACTATTGGAAGAGAAAAAAAGTGATCACCAATCCCAATGGAATCAAGTAGAAATATTAGAAAAACAAGAACACTAAAGGAATCAGCATATATATTAGGCTGTGATGACCTGCCCAGTAGAGCTAGGACTGATATAAATATCATATGAGAGACATTAAGAAAAAGAGAAATGGTAGCTTCATTAAGCAAAGTTTGACAGCAAGGCTTCAGTAGCAGTAAGTTTAAGGCCCTAAGTTCTAGATTCATGATTATCTCACATGAAAATAGCCTAGCGGTTTAAAACAGTGGTTTGTAAATTTGGTTTCATAATAATATGCCATGTGCCTTCATGACATTGGCAATCATGGCTCTCCACAATTTCCTATCCTTTGTAGCTCTAAATAAATTCTGTCATCTTGCTATCTCTCCTAAACCCTATTCTGTCATCCATTTACACAAGTTCAGTTGTGTATTGTTTTCCTGTCTCTCCTGCCTTCAATTTGTCCTGTGAGTATCAAATTTTCTGTGCCCTCTTTCCTCATTATGTGCCCAAGAAATTTCAGATGTTAACCATAAGTGTCCCTTTAGTTTTCATTTTCTCTAAAACTTTCTCATTGCTCACATGTTCAGTCCATAATATTCTTAGCATTCTTCTGGAGAACCACACTTCAGGTCTCTTTTTCATCTTTTACTGCTATATAGAAAAACTATAACAGTTCAGTTCTCTTTCTTACAAAATTTTTCTTAGCTTTTAGAAGGTATATTTCGCTATTCCAATGCACCTTCAGATTTCATTGTTGCACTTTCTGATCTGTTAAAACACTTCCCAGTTATTTAAACTATTGTACATGCATTATATCTTCTTACAATTTAATGTTTAGTCCTTTCTTCTCGTTTCCCTTCACTACCTATTGTAATTCCCTTTCTATGTCTGCTATCAACACTGTGTCATTTGCATATCTTGTGCTCTTAAGATTGTGACCCCCAATCTCAAATCCTAGTAGAGCTTCTAATTCTCTGAGAATTACCTCACTGTATAGGTTGAATAAGTCCAATGAGAAGACACATCCTTGTCTTACACCCCTTTCTATTTTTGTGTATTTACTGAATCCATTTTCTACCCATAAGCATGTGGTTTGCTGCCAGTATAGGTTCAAGATTATTCTAATATTCATCTCAAATATTTCAAGGTTATCTTGCAGTGGTCTGGTGCTCCCACTGTACGTCTTGAGGTCCTTGACAAAATCCAGAGACAAATATGCAAGATGATAGGTCCTGAGCTGGCATCTAGTCTACAATTGTTATCCCACAGACGTGCCATGGCCTCCCTCTGTCTCTTCTACAAGTATTTTCATGGCAACTGTTCCAA